CTACAGCACACATTGTATGGAGAAACGTGGCCTAAGATCAAGATGGAATCATATATCAGGCTAGATTCTGAAGAGCCTAAGGTGTTTGGGCAGCATTTCCTCAAAGGGACCATGAGCCAGCAGAAACTCTCAGACGGGGTCAAGGCTGTCCCATTTGCCTGCCTTTTAAAGACAGGGTTGTATTCTGCCCCACCAGAGGCTCCGGTTGTTATTTCTGCACAAGAGGCTCCTCCAAGGAGGAGAGAATTTCACGAAATATCTGGGATAAACTATGTGTTTGTTAAAGCTACTTACCCTTGAATCTCTCTGCTTCTAGCAGAAGTGTAAATGCTTTTCTACAATTTCTTCATAGGAGAACACTTTTTTAAGTCATCTACCCGAGGAAGCCAATTTTATTGGTTAGTATTGGGCTTTTAAGAGGACTGATGATCACATGGACAGCTCAGGCTTTCTCTGGCTGTAGTGTAAAGGGAACACCTGAAATAAGAGACAACAGCAAGCATAAATTAAGAGGACAGTTATCAGCATGACAAGGATCTGACCAAATGCGGCCAAGAATAAGTCCAGGGAGGAAGGTGAGGGAGGAAGAAAAGGGGAATATAGTTCAAAAATTCTTTATTTTGGCTTCACTGATTTTAGGAAACTGAATCATAGGCAAAATGTATTGAAAAACAGGAACACTTAAATAGGATAAATTAAAGAGTAAATAATATATAGCGCTTGTGAAAATGTTATGTTAAGACCCTTCATTACTGCTTAGTAAATGGCACTATGTGCCAGTGGCCAAAAAGATAAAATGCTACATAAAAGAGAAAAAGTTTAAAAATAATGTAAGGACCAGAGTAAGGATACAGTAGTTCCCTCCAGTCCTCAAAGGAATGTGTTTCAAGATCAAATGCTGTTTTTTCCTCCTATATATACACATCTATGATAAAGACGAGGCTTGCATTTTTCATATTTTTTATATTTTATTCATATTTCTGATAAATTGATTTTTATTATTTTTATAAAAGTGTAAGTCCATAGCAAATTAGAAATTTACCATAATTTGTCTTTCATCATGGATAGTATGAGACACACTGAACTGGAGGACCATGATGCCATTTGTTTTGTTTGGGGGTTTTTCTGTTTGTTTATTTGTTTGTTTGAGACAAGGTCTCACTATGTAGCCCAGGCTGGCCTTGAACTCTCCATCCACCTGCCTCAGCTTTCCTGAGTGCTGGAGTTATAGAGTGCACCACCACCACACCAGTTTGACCACGATTGTAATCTAAAATAATTAATTCAAAAGCACACACAGAAAGAAAGAGTGATGGCAGACAAGTTCATTTTTTACCTTGCCCCATTTTGATTTTTATTTTAAAGGCCATGGGCATTTCATCTTTAGATTTTTGTTATTATAAGTTGTATTTCTTGCTGTAAGCTTTATTCAAACTTGCTAGAAAAATCTTCAAAAGAAAGCAGCCTGTATTAGAAAAATGTTGGTTTAGTGGTACTTGCTTATCTTCCAAGAGAAGCCATAATACAATACATCAAGTAACACAGACATGTTATCAATTCCTTCTGGGAAAAGTGAATACTGTTCTTTTTAAGAGCTTGAGACTCTTTTCTGATTGGGAACAACTAGTCATATGGTTTCACATATTAAACTGTAGGAACCCATTCTTTAAATGAAGGACTTACACAAGGGTTTATTTCTCCCAAGATCATGCAGTTAGCAAAAAGGAAGCCTGGATTTAAACCCCAGACACTATTATCAGGTTTGTCTGCAGTCTTTCTGCTACCCTAGGCTCTTCCACCATTAAAAATGCTGCAGTGGGAACCAGGCATGGTGGCACATCCGATAATCCCAGCACTAGGAAGGCTAAGGAAGGAAGATAATGAGTTCAAGGCCAGCCTAGGCTATAGAGCAAGTTTGAGGCTAGCCTGGGCTGTCAGACCCTGTATCAAAAAGATAAAGTGTTCCAGAAACTAAGTGCTACATAAGCTTCACTTCCAGGAGCCTGAAAGATAGCAGCAAATATTAAAATAATGTGGAGTACTTATGGGTCGCCTCAATATGTAACTATCCTTGGTTCTATTTGGAGACTTCTGCACTTAGACAAGATCAATGCAGCTGGTGGAGAGACTCAAGTAGTACAGCGCCTGCCTGGCAAATGTGAGGTCCTGAGTTCAAACCCCAGTTCTTCCCACCCTCCCCCAGAAAAGAAAGAAACAAACAAACATATAGACAGACACTTTATCACTTCTCGGCCTTTTGACTAAGATCAAGTGTAGAATTTGTTCTTATCAATTTAATATCTGATATGTCTCTATCCGAGGACAATACATTAAATGGATTTTTGGAACAAGGGGATGGAATAGGAGTTTGCCCTGTCCACTCCACACATCGACCTGGTATTGCAGTACCTGCAGGAACATGCACCAAAAAAAAAAAAAAAAAAAATCAATGCTTGTTTGTCTCAAACTGATTTGCACATCGCACAGAAAAATGTAAGAGAAAAAGCAATGCTATCAACGCCTGCTGTCTTGATGTAGAGACTGGTTTGAGCTCTATACTAACAAACACATTCCAAAAGCAAACCTTTATCCTTTTATGTAATTAGTGGATGTCAATTAAAAATAAATTAGTATCTCTGAAAATATCAAGTCTTTCAAGAGATTATATGGTCATTGTGAGGAACCCAGAAATTGCATTAGTCAGCTTCATATGTGGCTATTCATTGACTAAAACAATGTTGCTACTTCAGAGAAATATTTATGGAAAAAAATGAAATGGTTGATTACTTGGCTCTCTTATCTAAGCAATGCCAGAAAAATCCAGATTTTTAAAAATATGCACAATTAAAAAATTGAGTCTATATTTACGGTGTTGTTTAGTCTTAGTTTGAGAATATAGCATTTATTTGGCTTTACTATTATATACTAATGAATTAACAGTAATTCTGGTTTGGGTTGAAGGAGTTATAATACTCTAAAATATTTATCAAAGCATTCTATCTTTCTTTCACATGCTTGTGACTTTTTAAAAGCGGAGTAAATGATCCCTCAATCCTTACTGTCACGGAGTTAAAGTTAATATTTGATAAAGAAACCAAGGTATATGGAAACAGCCAAAAAGCCCCACTACTGATGATGAATGGAGTAAGAAAATGTGGTATTTATACACAATGGAATTTTAGTCATCCATAAAGAAGAATAAAATTTTGTCATTTGCAGGTAAATGGATGGAACTGGAGAACATCATCTTTAAGTGAAGTTAGCCAGGCTCACAAAACCAAAGACTGAATGTTCTCCCTCATATATGAAATATAGACCCAATACAAACACAATCAATATTATGAAAAACAGGCTATACTACAGGGAGATCACATAAGAGACAAAAGGAATTTAAGAAGGTAAATACAGTTGATGTAATTCCTATAGAAGAATGAATATAAAATTTTTAAACCTGTTGATATTACCATAAGAAGGAGTCTAAGGTAGAAAGAAGAAAAACAGATGGGATGAACCAATTCATATAACAAAGCATATAACACATATACACATGGAAATGTCACAAGAAAACACCCTGTATAGCTATCCTAAACAAATAAAAATGTCTTTTTTTTTTACAAAAACAGAGAACAGGAAGGCAAAACAGGTCCTGACTGGGGGATGGGTATCAGGGGACGATATAAAGAAAGAGGGTAAGAGGGTAAATATGGTGGAAATATTCCATACACATGAATGTAATGGAAAAATAAGACCTGTTGAAACTATTCCAGGAATGGGGAGAGGAAAGATAAAAGAGAATGATAGAGGAGGTGAATTCAACTATAACATATTGTAAGAAATTTTGTAAAATGTCACAATGTATCCCCAGTATGACAATAATATAAATAAACTTAAAAAAAATAAAACAAAGAAACCAAACTATGAGTACTGAAATCAGCTGGGTAGGTCTGATGGGTGTGTCTACTATAATTAACAGGAACAATTCAGATTGAAAAGAAACTCATTCATTCAATAAATGTTTGTTGAATGAACAAATAACTGAATTAAACTTACTGAAGAGTAACCTTAAAAAAAAAATCTCATTGTCTTCTCTCAAGGTAAATTTTAAGTATGGAGGTCTGGTATGAGATTATAATGGCATTAGTTTTGAATCTTCAAGTCGAAGCAACAAGTCATTTCTTACGCAAACCTTTAGCTGACTACATGAAGTCTGAGTTGGTCTTAAGTAGAATCTGCCCAGCTGTCAGTCTTTTGGCTTCTGAGATACAGATGGCAAACACCAGTGATGCTGAGGATATGTGAGAGACAGTAAAGAGAGAAATAAAAACAGAATAAAATCCAATTACACGGAGTTTTACTTAAAACAAAAATTGATTGAGTTCTGCCCAAAGTGGCTTGTTGTTTCCTGTGCCAGGAACTACTGTGCAGGCCCAGCGGAAGTGTGCTTCAGAGCAGGATCACCTTACACCCTTGTTTTATGGTTCATTTCACTTATTTAATGCAATTCGAGAACCTGCAAAAGGAGCATGTTAGAAGGATGGAATAGGCTTTTTGTCTTGTTTTGTTTTAAGTTTCTTTGAATCAAAACATTTGTTTTTACAAGGTGCTTAAAATCCCAGAGAAACAGGACTTCTAGAGTTGCATGGTAAAGACATTTCTCTTTGTCACACAACTGAAAGCAAGACACAAAGTTGAGTTATGTCTGCTTCCTTTTACTGTCCTACTCAAATCATTTCAAACGTGAAGAATTACAACCATGCCCATGAATAGTCTAAATCATTTTGAATTGAGCATAAGCTTCTCCTAGAGTGTCTAATTTGATAGAGAGCCCATGGTGTTGGCAGAGTGGGGGAGATATTTAAGATGGAAAAATCATGATTCATTTGTCAAGCAGAGGAATGAATCTATTTTACCGTATTGCTTGGAAATGTGTGAATTGAACAGCTGGATTTCCTTGTGGGGGCATACGCCATTCCTCACACGCTGTCTATCTTTCCCTCCAGAGACCTGAGTATGAACAACATCAGTCAGCTGCTCCCGAATCCCCTGCACGGCCTCCGCTTCCTCGAGGAGCTGTAAGTACCACTGTAGTCTTGATGTGTCCACACAACACTGGACACATTCTTGTGTTTGTCTCTCATACTTGCTGTGGGAACCAGATAAAACAAGGCGGGGAAGCTGTCAGCACCAGCGACTTTGGCACATGAGGAAGTACTTAGTTGGAAGGGGGGAAAAAAGAATTGCTTATGATTCTGGAAATCAACTCTTATAAGAGTTTACCATGAGGCTACAGCTTGCTAAGGTGAGACTGAGCCAAACAAATTAAAATTTTAAAACAAAGGCTGTTTAAAAGAACTGGATAGCTCTTTGGAAATCATTAAGCAGCAGGATATTAAAAGTTTGAATACTGGTTTGTGTTTATTAAAATAGCAAGTAAAGCTATAATCAAAACCAAAAACTGCTGCTTAGTTCAGCTTGTGACTAAAATTGAGTCCACATTTCATAGAACCAAAACTTCTTGTCTTAATCACTTTTAATTACTATTTCCCTACTTTTAAATTTAGCTTCCTTCACAGCTTCAACAGAAAAACATGAAATCCACAGAGGTCTTAAAATTGGCTTCTCCTAAATTCTCCATAAAAAATTAAAAAGGAGGAAGCTAAAATTTGTTAATGATCCATACAGGAATCTTGATTAAGTCTAATCAAGATTGAGTAATCACTTTCCAGAAGATGAAAAGAACTGTATAAACCCAAAATCTACATTTAAAAATTCATTTGATCCTCTTACCCTGTTGAGTGAAGGAAGGCTAGGCATCATCATAGTCATTGTGAAGGAAGTTTGCCACCAATAGTTCAGTAAATCCTCTGCCTGTTGATTAAATGAATTGTTTAGGATTTATAAATCCTAAAGTCAGGGTCCAATGTGAGGAGTAATTTAAATTGCTGATGTACCACATGATCAATCATGGGAGGTAGGATGTCCCATCATAACCAAATTGTACTACATTGATCAGTTTTTCAAGAGGATAACATTCTCAAATTTCTGCAGAGTTTTATCTGTGTTTTCTTTCATTTTTTGCCAGTACTGGGAATTGAATTCAGGGCCCAACACTTGCTAGCCATGCCTTCTTTTTTTGCTTTTTTATTTTGTTTTTCAGATAGGGTCTTGCATTTTTGGTTGGCCAGCCTCAGGCCACGATCCTCCTATCTCCACCACCTGAGTAGCTGGGTTTCTGTTTTTGATAACATTATACTTTTAATAAATGCTAGTGCTTTTACTATTGAAATCAGTTGACAGTGACCAATTTGTTATCACAGGGTATGATGGGGAATCTTAGAATTCTAAATTATACAGTAATTTTTTTTTTAATCATTTAAGGGATGAATGTTCACCCTAGGTTCCAGGTTGCTCTTTAACCCTCCTCTCCATTCTCTTGGATTATTTCTGTTACTAGGACTTAACCGTCATAAAGGCTGGGACCATTTCTATCTTAGTCATGACATAATAATCAGTAAATTTTTGATAAATGAACTAATCAGAAACTAAAATTTGTAAAAGAGGCTTCTTATTCATGTTAACTGCATTAGTTAATATCTTTAGTGATTATTTTAAGTAAATTTCAAACTTCAGAATATTTTCTTAGTTACATCCTTCCTGTTCTCCCTCCTCCCACATAGTTAACATACAAAAGTTAGTCCTGTTTACCTCTATATTTCTAAGGCATGTATTTCCTACCTTTTCTCTTTAATTTCCTTGTAATATCCCATAGCAAAATACTTCCCTTCTCCACCAACACACACCTCAACATTAGACCACAAACTGAATCAATAAATAATTCACTTCCCCAAAGACTTTGCTTAATAGAGTTCCTCCCTCTGTGATCCAACTCATTCAAAATAACTCCTCTTTCTTCATGAGGTGAATACTAATTCTACTCAAAGGGCAGTTTGTCAAAAGATAATTGAGAAAAATCACAAAAAAGCAGGATAGGGGTGGGAAGGGAGAACTACCATTTGAAAATGCTGTTTTTCTGTATTGTCTTACTTTTATCTCTCTGGAAATTCCATTAAATATCTTGACCATAGGACCACAGAATTTCAGAATTAGAGGTAATCTTTTAAAGACTATTCCATTTTCTTCTTCTGTTCTGGACTTCCTTCTACTGAGTTGGCCGACCTACTGAATTTAAAATCGAGAATGCTTTCCCATATATAATTCTGTGATTCTGTGTTGCATCTAAATGATATTTTGAAGACATCACCATTCATTTAGTAACAAAAGGGGGCAGTATTCATAGAAACCGAGAAAATGTTCAACTCTGTTTAGTTTATTTCTTTGTTCCCAAGGCTAAATTTTGGGGTCCAGGGTTGTTATTGTTGTTAAAAATACACCCATTAGCAGAGCATTTTGATTATGTCTTTATTGTATTACTGAGTGTAATAGACTTAGTTATGTTTAAGTCAATTTTTTTTAGAACAAGGGATCTTCAAAGATAATATTATAGTAACAACAATAATAGTGCCAGTCACTGTTCAAAGCGCTTTGCACACATCATCCCACAGCATCTTCTTAACAACCCATAAACATAGATATTATTATCCCTGGTTAAAAACTTTAAAAAACTGAAGTACAGAGAAAATAAGGAATTTGCCCAAGAAAATGAAGTTGGTAGGTGACAGAACTAAGAGTCAAGCCCAGGTCAAAGTCAAGATTCACAACAGCATTCAGAGCTGTCCTTGAAAAGTGTCAGGACAGTACAGAGTTGTGCATGGCTCATCTGTGCTTTTCTCTTCTGCAGCAGTCCCTAGCACAGGGGTTGTACAGTCAAACACTTAAATGTTAAGCAAATCGGGTTGTATAATAAGAGGTGTACATGTACATTTCTGTGTCTGTATTAGGTAATGAAAGAGAGAGAATGAGAAAGAAAGTAAGAGAAAAAGCTGTCTTCCCAGGAGGAAGAGATCAGATATTCAGATTATTAATCCATTAGCATTATATATCACCGTGAGAAAAGTGTAATAAGAATTTTGAGGTGTAAAATTTCACATTTCTAGCATTGCACAATAGGTTCAAAATTTTTGTTTATATTTCTACATATAAATATGTAAAATAAAGCATTTTACTTGAACTAACAAATGACCATCCATATAGCCAGATATAAGTGCTTATATGGGATGTGTGTGTGTGTGTGTGTGTGTGTATGTGTGTGTTTATGACAATTAAGGCACTGTTTGAAAGCATAAAGTCTTTCATTCTGCTTATTCAGTTCATCTTTGTTTTATCTCTTTATACATTAAATAGGAAACTGCTAAAGATACTATCAATAATATTAATAAAAACCTTACCCTAAATTTCAGTCTTTAAAAGTCACTATTAATGAAACCAAGTTACCACTCTTCCTCTTAGTTTATTAATTACCCAATATATCATTTTCCAAGTTTACTTCATTTAACTATGCGGTAAACTATGTAAGCAGCCATGATTCACCCTTCATCCATCCCAAAAGCTTAACAAAGTTGCCGTAGTTGAAAATCTGGTAAGAATTCATAAAGCCCTAAGATATTTATGGAGTTAATGTTTAAAAAAACATGTAACTCTGGATAAACTGACTATCTGGAGCAAATATTTAAGAAGAATTAAAAACCATCACGGTAAATGGTCTCCCTCTCTCCCTCTTAATTTTAGAGTATTTACTTCCTATGACACAAGTTTTGGCATTCAGGTCTTGTTTGTTACTTGTCATTCACTTTTTTGTGACTTTGCAAAGGTGATCAGGTGGGCACAGGCCAATCAACTTGCTGCTGGTGATCATGTGCTGGCACAAAAAGGAGAGGCTTTATTTTGCAAAACAAAAACACAAAAAAACAGATCTGAGTGTAGGTATCTGTACAGCATCCAGAAGCCCAGGATGTCCTGTCCTGGCTCTGCCACTTAGTAGCTGACCATCCATATAACCTCACTGAGCCTTGGAGGATAATGTAATGGTCTGAGCCATTCTGCCTCTCTTTCAGGATGTTTCTGAGAATTAAATGATATGATGTCAAAGGAACTTTGGTAAACTATAATGAACATATTGAGTTGTTGAAATAAAATGAAAAGACCTTCAAGAAGATTCTAACCTCTTCCTTTCCTATTTCACTAGCCGGATTTTGCAGGAATCTGGAATTTGTGGAAGAAAAGCTATTTCCAACTGTGAATTTTAATGAATATAGGCAAGAATTACAGATAGTTTTTTTTCCACATTTTAACATCCTGAGCAGTCATTGCATTTGTGTCCAACAGTACTTCTCCAAGATTTATTGATTTAGTTCTGCTAAGGACTTCATGTTCTTGCTTTGTTGATAAAAAAAAAATCCTATATTTGGCCTTTAAAGTGTGGTTCGGACATCAGGAGCTAACAACAGATGGTGCCTGTTGCTGGCATCTACAAGTTACAGTAAACCCAGATTGGTATTCTGATTAAACTGAGGGGGGAATAAGTTGTTTCCATTTTAAATAGTCTGAGTTAAAGATCTTTATTTCCAAGTAGCATTTTAAAATCTTCCCAGATTTTAGTGCTATTGGAATCAAATACTTGAGTTAGAGAAGAAACATGAGAAACTCTAGGGAGGTCTGTTTTTAAGTTACCATTGTTCCCTGGAACTATTTGTTCATATTATGGTTGGCCTTGAAGGATCTCTATGTAAATAGTTGATATCTATTATTACAGATTAAATTTGTCAAGAGAGATACTACCAAACTTCCTGAAATCATAATTTATGCTTGTTACTTGTACTTCCTCACCATGTTAGTGAAAATGGAGAGAACTGTCCTGCCTGTCTTTTGAGATCATTTCTGGGAACCAAATGAAATGATGATGAAGAATTCTGGGAAACTACAAGGTACACATTGGGTTGTATTCCTAGAAACCCTAGAGTTATTTCATGGCAATGATTTTGATTCTCTTCCAAATGATTACCCATAAACTAGATATAGACATTTAGATATCTGATAACAGGATGTGTGTGTGTGTGTGTGTGTGTGTGTGTGTGTGTGTGTGTGTGTGTGCTCACTGGGAGCCACATATGGAGCC